CTGACAACCGGCCACGTCCCAGCATCGATCAACCATCGACAGCCACCTAGCAAGTCCTCGACGTCTCGGTGCCAAGCCCTCGACAGTGCCAAGCCTGACCTGCCAAGCCTCTTACGTACCTAACACCAACCACAAGCCCTCGACCTACGTACCTAACACCCACCTGCCAAGCCCTCGACAGACCTTCGCCACCTGCCAAGCCCTCGACCGTGCCAAGCCCTCGACAGTCTCGACTGTCCCTCGACACGTACCTAACACCAACACCTGCCAAGCCCTCGACACGCTGCCAAGCCCTCGACAGTGCGTACCTAACCAACTCGACAGTACCTTGCCAAGCCCTCGACCTGCCAACGACGTGCCAACCTACGACCTGCCAAGCCCTCGACAGTGTACCTAACACCAACAAGCCTCGACAGTGCTACCTCTGCCAAGCCCTCGACAGTACGTACCTAACACCAACCACCTGCCAAGCCCTCGACACTACGTACCTAACACCAACCACCTGCCAAGCCCTCGACAGTACTTACCTAACACCAACCACCTGCCAAGCCCTCGAGTACCTAACACCAACCACCTGCCAAGCCCTCGCCAAGCCCTCGACAGTACGTACCTAACACCAACCACCTGCCAAGCCCTCGACAGTGCGTACCTAACACCAACCACCTGCCAAGCCCTCGACAGTGCTTACCTAACACCAACCACCTGCCAAGCCCTCGACAGTGCTAACACCAAACCTGCCAGCCCTGCCAACCACCTGCCAAGCCCTCGACAGTACGTACCTAACACCAACCACCTGCCAAGCCCTCGACAGTACGTACCTAACACCAACCACCTGCCAAGCCTCGACAGTGCCACCTGCCTCGACAGTGCGTACCTAACACAACCACCTGCCAAGCCCTCGACCTAACACCAACCACCTGCCAAGCCCTCGACAGCCAACCACCTCAAGACAGCACCTGCCAAGCCCTCGACAGTGCGCCAACCACCTGCCAAGCCCTCGACAGTACTTAGCCACCTGCCAAGCGCCACCCAACACCAACCACCTGTGCCTACAGTGCCAAGCCCTCGACAGTACTTACCCAACACCAACCACCTGCCAAGCCACAGTAGCCTAACACCAACCACCTACCCTAGCACCATTCCAGCGACCAGCTCTCCCTCGCGGTTACCAAGAGCAACGGGAGCGACGCCGAGAGGGACGCCATCATCGCACCAGCATTTCGCCAGACGTGCAACAGACAAAAGGAGACGGCCTGCACCCAAAACATCTTTGTCCCCTTGATGTACCCTGCAGCTAGAGGTTTGTCTTATGGGAACCCAGACGGACCCGGTCTCTCGCTCTCTCTCGCTCTCACTTCCTCATTCGCCCTCTCTTCCATTCCTACTCCCACTTTCCTATTCTCGCTTTTATTTATTCAACCTTCCCTCCGTCCCCCCCCCTCTCTCTCTCTCTTGACTCCCACTCTCTTTCACTTTCTCTTTTCCTCCCTCTCTCTTTCTTTCTCCCTCTCCCTCTCTCTCTCTCTCACTTCCTTTCTTCTCCCCCTCTCTCACTTCCTTCTCTTTCTCCTTCTCTCTCTCACTTCTTTCTCTTCTCTATCTCACTTCCTTCTCTCTTTCTCGCTCTCTCTCTCTCACACACTCTTTTTCTTTCTCCCTCTCTCTCTCTCATTCCTTTCTCTCTTTCTCCCCCTCTCTCTCACTTTCCTTCTCTCTTTCTCCCTCTCTCTCTCACTTCCCTTTCTCTCTTCTCCATCTATCTCTTTCACTTCCTTTCTCTCTCTCCCTCTCTCTCACTTCTTTCTCCTTCTCTCTCTCTCTCTCTCTCTCTCTCTCTCTCTCTCTTCTTTCTCTTTCTCCCTCTCTTTCACTTCCTTTCTCTCTTCTCCCTCTCTCCCTTCACTTCCTTCTCTCTTTCTCCCTCTCTCTCACTTCCTTCCTCTTTTTCCCTCTCTCTCACTTCCTTTCTCTTTTTTCCCCCTCTCTCTCACTTCCTTTCTCTCTTTTCCCTCTCTCTTTCCTTTCTCTCTTTTTCCCTCTCTCTCTCTCACTTCCTTTCTCTCTTTTTCTCTCTCTCACTTCCTTTCTCTCCCCCCCTCTCTCTCTCTATCACTTCCTTTCTCTCTTTTTCCCTCTCCCTCCCTCTCCTCCTTTCTCTCCATCATTCCCTCTCCCTCTCCTCCTTTCTCCCTTCTCTCTGTCTCCTTCTTTCTCCCACCTCTCTGTCTGTTTCTTATTTCTTCTCCCTCTCCTTTTTTTCTTATTTTCCCCTCTGCCTTGTTATTTTTCGCTCTCCCTTTTTCGTATTTCTTCCTATCCTTTTTTTCGTATTTCTCCCTCTCCCCCTTACACTTTCTTTACTTTTCTGCATTTTTACTTTTCTTTCTTTTTTTTCTCCCTTTTCTCTTATTTTCTCTTTCCCTTTTACTTTCTTATTTTTCTCTTTCCTCCTATCCTCGCCGACTCCCTCACCCACTCACTCTCTCTTTAACCTTCTACCTTTTTTCATGCTCATGCTCCTTCCCCTCATTCCTCTTAACCTTAGCCTTCCTCTCCCTCTCCTTCCCTTTCCCCTACCCCCTCCCTCTCCCCTCCTCTTTATTTTCATTTCCTTCTCCTTGCCTCTCCTTTCCCCCTCCACTCCCCTCCCCTCTCCCTTTCGCTCACCCTCTTCCTCTCCCTCTCCCTTTCCCTCCCCCACTCCAGTTCGCTCCCCCTCCCCCTCTCCCGTTCGATCATCCCCCATCCTTCTTCCCCTATCCCTCGCTCTCTCTCTCTCTCTTCCTCATCTTCTCCCTTTCCCTCCCCCTCCCCCTCCCGTTCGCTCATCCCGAAAGCCGGCCATTCACAGCATCCTTTACATACGCCGGCCTCTTCCTTACAACTTCCCCGAGGATTCATCTCACTCCCCGCACGCTCCTAACCTCTCCCATCTCCCCGCCACAGGTCGACTCGGAACCTAACCCTAATATCCTTAAGGAGGGAAAGAGAGTGATCCCTTCTCTCTTTTTCCCGGACATTATCCTTCGGCGGCTCCAAAATATATATCCTTTTTCCAAATAAATCTAACACCCTGGTATCCTTGGCATTCTAATATCCCTGAATCATCTAGAAACAGGTGTTTATTCTCCGTGGCCTCGCAATTTCTTTATATATATAGTTATCCAGATAAACTTATCAAATCAAATAATCTTATCAATATAAAGACGCTAATCTGATGTTTTATATCCATTTTATCATAGAGATTTATTAACCCTTGCTCGCAAAACCTCTCACACTAGTTTACCTTCAACCACGCAGACTACTAAAGGGTCAGATGACACGATCTCACAGAATCCTTTTTTCGAGTATATGAAACACTGCAACTAGTGACTTATCCGAATGAAACATTAGATTCCCTTTTTTGGCATTTGCAACACTGAAAATGGTGATTTTATAGAAGCTAACGACTGCACATCCTTTTTTCCGAGGATATGCAATGCTGAAAAAGATTGATTTTTTCAAGAGCCAGTTGCTAAGGCTTTATTTACCCTACTACTAAAATAAAAACTAATCAAATCTGCATCCAAACATCCTTAAAAAGTCCCGCCAGAAACCCGCCGACGAAGCAATGAGCAAGGCATAATCTTCGCCCGCCGGCCGCGTCGCTGCGACCTTTCTCGAGTTGCAAGCTCAGTCCCGCAGCCTCCCGAATTATCTCCCGGCGGCCAGGATTCCCAGGTCATCCCTCAGCCCGGCAAAAATCCTGGGAGGCATTCCAAAATAATCTCGCAGCGGCAGCATCCCGAGAGTAAGGCGGGAGAGAGTTCAGAGACGGTGAGCGTAGCGCGCGGCGTAACCCAGACACCGGCCGATCAATAGCTCGGGTACTCGTCCACCCCAGCACCACCAGCACACGTCGACACTCACCTTCACTAATCTACCAAGACACCACTTTTTCATTATCTCTCTTTCCCTGTCTCCCGTGCCTCCTCTCGTCTCTTTTACCTCTTCCTCTCCTCCTCCTCCTCTCCCTACCAGCATCCCACACGCCATACATTCGCAACGGACGCGAAAATAAATACAAAAACGATACATAAAATCACGACCTACCGATAGATGTAGCTTCAACTACCATACCGTCTACCCCCCTACCCCCACCCCACTTCTACCTGAGGCCTCGACCATGCACGAGCACCCACGGCCTCCACGAGCCTCGCTCTTCAAACTCCTCCCCCTCCGCCTCTTCTCTTTCCCTCCTCGTCCGAAAGTTATTTCTCAAGTTTTGACTCCCTTCTCGCCCTTGTTTTGAACTTTAAAACTCATATATTGGATGATGTCGCGCTTTAGTCCTTCCTCTTCGTCTACTTTACTTATTAAAAGGAGCCTGACCCTCATAACCAGTCCTTTCCCTGATGACTACTAACGTCCTTCCATTCCTCATCCGGGCCTCACACTTACCCACATACACTCACTACCATTCAACTTTGAGAATAGTTACACACCCACCTTGATTTCGGCCATGTGCGTACCATAATACATTTACCTTCACCTCCACCTTTACCACCGTCCCCATTTCGCACTCATTAACCCCAACCTCATTACCTTCAATTTCACCCGCACCTTCCTCCGGTCAGACCAGGCCCAAATAAATCCCATCTCCCTCGCCAACTTACACCTGCCTACCTCCCCGTTCACGCACATTTACACACGCGTTTGCCCGCCCCGCATCCAATTACACCCACTTTCACACCCCTTGCCACTGCCCTGCACGCTGCCACAGAGGCACTCGCGGTCACCTTCACATGCACTTCCGCCCAGCCATGTGCAGAAAACCCATCTTGGCCACCCGCTGCTGCTTCGCCTCCCCTAAGCCCTCCACGCTCGGAAAAAATGCTCCACCCGTGGGCTCCTTGCTCTGGCCCACATGGCCGTCCACCTTCACCGTAACTCAAGATGCCCTTCATTCGCTTAAATCTCCGAGAGGAACGAAAGTGCAGAAAATCCATAGCACACCACGGCTTCCACGTCGCCCCCACACCATCATCATCCTCGGTCGATCCTCCGCTCTGGCCACTCTCCTGCCCTCATCACCGTCATCACCCACCCAGACAGGTGCTCTCCCTCTGCCTCTCCCTCTCCCCCTCTCACTTCCCGCACCCCTTCTCTTTTCGCCCTCTCGCGCCACTCTACTGATCTCCCATCTCCACCTTCCATGTTTGTTTACATCAGCTTTATCACAGGTCTCCGTGCATTCCTCCCGTCCCTCTCCCTCCTCCCCCCGCCGCCGCAGAGGTATGGGCGTGTGGGCATGTGCCCGTGTTCCTCATGCCCTCTGAGAACCTCCCTCAACCCTACAGCCTTACCTTGAGCGAGGTGATGGAGGTTGCACAGCGATGCTTGCCTGCTTCTCTCCCTCTCTCTCTCACTCACTCGCGTCCGGCCTTCCAGACGTCTCGCTTAGGTAACCTACACGAGCGGGGCGGGGTTGTATGGGGTTGGTTGTGTCGGTGTTCGTGAGGTTTTATTTGCCTCGAGGTGGGGAGGGAAGGGTGCTGGAAGAGGGTGGTTTAATTGCACTTCTCAATGCTCCTTCGTTATCTCTCGATCTCTCACGTGTGGTGAGTGTCCGCCACCTCACTGAACACGCCTGATCACCAACAGTTACTATCGAGTATCCATGTAAAACCAAGGCCACAGAACCTTTTTCCCTTAAGTTCGACAGCGGAACGTTGGCGGGAACAGACGCTCTCACAGACGGCCAAACGTTGTCGAGCACGCGTGTGAGTGTGGCTGCCGGGGCTCGCTGCTGCTGCTGGTGGGGGCGGTGGTGGTGGCGGTGGTAGGTGGAGGATGGCGCTGCTGCTGCTGCTGTTTGCTCGAGGTGTGGTGGAGTGGTGTTGGGGGAGATTGTGGTGGAGGAGGATTGAAAGTAACGCTGCTGCTGTGGTGCAGATGTGCAGATATATTTATGGCGAGAATGGTGGCGGCGGGAGTGCCAGTAATGGTGATGCTGCCGGTGGCAATTCGCTGATGGCATAATGATTGCGGTGGAATTTCAGTGTTTACAAGAGTAGCGAAGAACGACAGCAGCAGCGGAGGCCACGATAACCAGGGTGAATCCACAGTGACAGCGATGCAGACGTTCGCAACGTGACGATGTGATTCTAATAGTTATGGAAGCAGTGGTGCCAACGGGGCAGCATCGAGAGGTATGAAGGGTTACCGCTGGGAAATATGGAGAGTACACTTCCAACTAACAAGGATAGAGTGAAATTCCCAGTCTATGTATTATACCAATGATGAAAACATGAAGAGAGATGCTGCTGCTACAGAGTTTTTCAACCAAGGGACAATGCCAATGAAGTTTCTTGTATCTGCTTCTCCCAGAGGAATAACGATGAGTGAGTTGTGCAAACTGTGTGTGTGTGTGTGTGTGTGTGTGTGTGTGTGTGTGTGTGTGTGTGTGTGTGTGTGTGTGTGTGTGTGTGTGTGTGTGTGTGTGTGTGTGTGTGTGTGTCGCGCGTCGCAGCGGGATCAGGGTGAAGAGGAAAAAAAAAACAAGAGTAGAAAATGAGGAAGGTACAGGAAATAAGGATAAGAAGTGTCGTAAAATTGCCTCAAGAAATTCCTATCTATCCTTGCCTTGCATTCTCTCAAGACGCGCTCCGCCGCAGCAGTAGAGGAACCCTCAATGAAATAGGCACGAGTGGGGAGTATACATGCTGACTGTGTTACGTAATTAGAAGAGTGATCAGAGTATCACCAGAACGGGAAGTAAAAGGGACATAGCATACATACACGTATAACACACACACACACACACACACCAATACACATTTGCATAGGTTCATACATGTCCCGTGCGCTCATTAACCCACCACCTCGAGACCTTGCAGACACCCACAGCCTCCGACGCCACCAGAACCTTTTCCAACCGGTCAAAAATGTTCGGAATACGGACGATACGGTTGGATTCCCTTGCTGAAAGAAATCTCCCGGGAGTGTGTAACGGGAAACAGTTTCTGGTATTGTTCCAATGTTAATTCTCAGAAAATCATCTATTATCGACAATGTAACCCGCCATTGGGCAGAGAACCGGAATGAATAGGAATGAAATGTGAAATGTGTGTGTGTGTGTGTGTGTGTGTGTGTGTGTGTGTGTGTGTGTGTGTGTTCGTGTGCGTGCGCATGGGAGAGCGGGGAAGCATTTTCATGTGTATGAAGATGAAAACGTGAAATCCATATTTGGACTCAAGGCTCGGTGAGAAACGTCGAAACTGGAAACTAAAGCTGTGCTGAGGAGGCCGAGTGTACCTGGAACTAAAGCACGGCGAGGGGTTAAAGCGTTCCTGGAAACTAAGGCGTGGTGTGAGATGTAATGAAGCTGGTTCTGGCATCCTCTTTCATCGAGAGCCGTTGTTTAAAACTAGCAGAATGACTGTGAAACGCTTTTCAGTTTATCATTTACCTCTCTCTCAACGATGAAACAGCAGCATTATGCAAAAAATAAATGATAAC